TTCTAAGCTTACTAGACAACTCAGTATCCATGACAATAGAGCAGCTGCTGCTGCCAGTTACGCAAATGGTGAAGCAGGTAATCATCCCTTATAGGTTGCTCATTTGTTTTCCTTGTCCGAGGACAAATGAAGTCCCACTAGTTTTATTTGTTTTATTACTTTCTTTGGGTTCGAGTGAAAATGTTAATTATCTGTTAAATTAGTTGAAACAAACTTCCCATGTACTTTTGAAAGCATTATGCTTCTTAAAGTATTTCTATGATTGCTGATTGGTCTTAGTAGCTAATACTTCATGTTCAGCTGGTTTCCAGTTAGTTCCTGGCTAGCTTTAAGTGTCTCCCTGTCTGGATTCTGTTACACTATAACTGCAATCAAAGACTTTTTGCAGCATGATTTGGGGTAAATTGATGCAGGTGGTTAATAGCGCCACCTCTTTTTTATGTCCTCTCCCTGAAACCCGTGGATGCCATATCGGGTGTTGACTTGTTCTTTCATTTCTGCAGGTTTTGATTTGTGAAAGACCATATTCTTGTCTTGTTGAGGTCTTTTAGATTTTGCACTTCTCAAATTCATAATTTGCGCTTTATTTCTGCAGAAAGTAGCCCAACAGCATCAGGCCCGTCATCTGGTGATGATTGGAGATCTGCATTTGATGCTGCTGCAAATGGCCCTTCTAGTCTCTCTAGGTATGGGTCAGGTGGTAGCAGTCGCCGCTACAGTGAGCCTGCTGAAAATGGTAATGCAAATACACGCTCGAGTTCTGCTGGCCGTCGCACCCCTAACAGGTTGCCGCCTGGCCCACCACAGTCTGGATCCGGTTATAGATCATAAATTAGGTATTTTTGAGACTATTGATTCATATATTCTTGTTGGGGGTGGTTGCTTGTTCTTGTTCTTGTTCTTGTTCTTCACGGTGAGCTCCTTTCGATTTCGAGCATATGTTATACTAGTAGAATTGGTATACGCATCTTTGTAGATAGATGTTGCAATTAAAATGTCATCCTCCCCGTCTTTTTGTCCTGGTTGCTGGAGTTTGAATTAATACTAACAATGATTTTATTGAAAATTTCTTTGCCTCGGACATTTTCTTCAGTATTTCAAATGTATTGGTCGCTACTGTATGTAATGTTTCCATATAGTAATGAAGAAAGTATTTTGCTTTCTTTTTGTGCCATCTTACTAACGTAAAATCTTCTGCTCTTCCTTGCCAATACCTAAATTTATTCCTAGAAATTTTATTAGTCCCAAAGTTTCTGCTTGTCGTTCTTGCCTGGCATTGGATGCAGCAATATTGTTTCAATGAGCACTGAACCTGACACCTGCTTTTCAAACATTAGTTGGGTTTTCGAAATTGAATATTGTTGAAAATGGTATTCAATGTGTTTATGAAAAACCTATTAAGTTACCTGTGAAAAGTTACCGGTAACTCTGGAGTGTTCCCTAAAAATTTGGACACTCTTCAGACTTGATATTGATAGTGCGCTGGCAGAATGTCACGCTGAACTGAAATACACATATGGAAGGTAAAATGATTGGAGCACGTATTTCTTTAACAACTTTTAACATGATGAAAATTAGGGTGTGTTTGGTATAAAGAAAAATATTTTTCTGGAAAATATTTTCGTGAAAAATAAGTGGTTTTATTACTTACTTTTTCTTGTTTGGCTGGTGAGTGAAATGTTTTTCGAAAAATATCTTAGTGTTTGGTTAGAGAGCAAAAAATATGTTTTAGGAAAATAATTTTTTATGCTACTACCCCCTCCTCCCCCCTCTTCAAATACTCTATGTTTTTAGAACTTTGTTTCAAGAATTTAATTATTCTTTTAAAAAATTACACAAACCTAAGGAAACTAATGAGTAGTTTTATTTTTTTACATAAGAACGCTGAAATTTGAATTTCATTACTAAAAAGAAAGTACTTTTTTTGTTGAAAAAGAAAGTACTCTTTCTACGGTATGAAAATAAAGTACCAATTTTATTAAAATAAAATAAAATATATTTTTTACATCATGAAAAGAAAATACTTATTTTGTTGAAATGTAGGAAATACTTTTTCTACATCATTTTGTTAAAACGAAAGAAAATACTTTTTCTATATAATGAAAAGGAAGTACAGTCAAATTTCTCTATAACAGCATCCCTATATAACAACCATTCACTATAAAAGCCAAAATTTTTCTCAGAACCGATTTTAAGTTATATTTTACCTCTATAACAGCTTTTTACGTGTAACATCAACAACCATATTTATAGCAGGATACTCTTTGTAAAATTATCCATCTTTAACAACTATATAGAATCATTAAGATTATTAATAATAGTTTTAAAAATATGTTTCCATTAAGCAAAGTTTCTATCTTGTATAAGATATAAGATTTGAAGATTTGCACATGATATCTTTTCAATTGGACAAATTCAATGAAAATATTTAGATAAAAAATTTAAATGTTAAGCTCTTAGATTGTCTTCAAGAGAAAGCTATTGGATGCCGTTTTGCTGAAAATTTGGGCATGAATCTTCGTCAATTCAAGCGTTATATCGCTAGTAAGAATATAAAATCTACAAAACAAGCTACAATTACAAAGTTCTTCCATCAATCTTGAAAGAATTTATTTTTCTTAGGTAGCTTTAAAATATCTACCTTAAAGCTTAAATCTTTATACGTTTAGTTCTGAATTTATTAATAATGTATTAGCTTTTTTCAATATTTAACTAATGAAATATACATATTTGTGGGGTGGGTGGGGTGGGTGATGGATTGGTTGGGATGTGGAATAAGGTGAGGAAGGTTGAAAAAGAGTATCGAAAAATATTTTCCATTGATAGGAAAAATAATTTCCTCCAACTAAAGGAAAATGGGTTAATGAGATAAATATTTCCCAAAACATTTAAACCAACCAAACATGAAAAAATTGAAAAACACTTTTTGGAAATGTTAACCTTCATACCAAATACACTCTTAGTCTTGCGATTTTCAAGACTAATCTACTTGAAAAGTTTGTTGTACAAAATGAACCTTATGCTGTTTAAGTGTTTTTTGACAGAACACCTTAGTCCAAAGCATAGAGTTCTACGCGATTTGTTTTATTGAATAACAAAACAACATGAGGAAATTGAACCTAACCTAGAAAAAGGCTTACAAACTGAAATTGTTGATAAAACATTATCTCAAAATTAGAATAACATACAAACTCAAATTGAATATGATATAGGCATTGAATTATATCAATAACAGTTGATAAAAAAGTGATTATATACATTAGAATGCTTGGCTACAGACTTAGCTACTAGGATATTGTTTCATATAATTGGTTTAATTAAGTTTATTTTGGCTTACTACCATATACTCCATTGTCACCAGCAATAATCATTTTAAATTTGGATTTTGGATAAATAACTCTCTAAATAAGACCAATTCCCACTGTGTTATGTCGTAATCACATAATTATGATAAAAACAGAAAGAAAATGAAAAACTTAGCATTTATTGAACCCTGTCGCGAAATCTATAGAATGTAATCTATTGCAATTTGAATATTATTAAATAACTATCTAAAAACCCTCTGTCTTATCTCAAAATTATGACAAAACCAGAAATAAATTATACTCCCTCCGTTTCAAATTAGATGAGGTACTTTTCTTTTTAGTCTGTTCCAAAATAAATGACACAGTTTTAAATTTTGAAATAATTTAACTTTAAACTCTTCATTTTACCCATTTTACCCTTAATAAGAATTTTTGATAACCACACAAATATCATGACTCCACAAAGCTTTTACCCCTTAAGCTTTTAAGACCACAAATTTCAAAAGTCTTCTTTTTTCTTAAACTCCGTGCCGAGTCAAACTACCTCAGTGAGAAGAATAAATTACCCTACATATGTATAATACACAATGTGCTTTCCCTTAAAAGCGAAGATAAAACTCAGAGAAATCTGATTGCTTTTGGATAGTGAAATCAGATGGCTTCCATTTTACTAATGTAGATCCTGATTCTAATCCCTCTTCTATAACCAAAATTTATGTTCTCTATGTTGGCAATATTGTATTACTCCTAAATAGTTTTATTTTTATTCTAAGTGCTTCTCTGATTAATTAGATGTATTACTAGTAGATTAATTAGTTGGATAAGGTAAGTGAGGTTTGGGGAGGGTAGGATATACGACACCCCTTAGACTATGATGGCTCGCAACTGATGCTTGGCAAAAGCCTAGATTTATCATTCTAAAACTCCGAGAGAAATTATATTAATTCGTTATCATGGTTAAGTGAGTTTTATTAAGTGAAAACATGTATTAATTAATTATGATTAAGAGGGAGGAGTCAATTTATAAACACATATAACACATCTATTGGTTTGACATAAACACCATGCATGAATAAACTTTCGCCGTGATCGTGATTTTATGATTAAGTCATGGCACAAGAATCTCATGGGTAAATTAGGTGTTCATAGCTTCAAATTCGGTGAATAAGGTATCAAAATATATAGAAATAAGCACACACAAAAAGTTACAAAAATTCAATATATAATATATATACAACATTTTTTTTTACCTTAGCTACATAGTATAATTTCTTGCGAGAAGGTGCCAATTGACACCAAAGAGACACCCCTTAGACTATTGCGCAAAACCCTACTTTTTATCATTCTGAAACTCTGTTGATTGCTATATGGTCTTTTATTTTATTGCGTCACTGGACCAAATGCCAACTGAAAGAATGATATTTCAAAAAAAATTACTGTCTCCATCTTATTTTATGTGGTAATATTTGATCGAGAGCAGAGTTTTGATTAAACAAGAAAATTAGACATGTTTTGATTCCAATGCAAATTCAAGACAATAAAGTAGGTACATTCGCATAAGTATAATATATTAATATTGGACAGTTATATGCTTTGATTCCTATATGCAAATTCAATAAAAGAATAGTGCTACAAAATTTTGCCTGAAAATTCATTAAAAAAATAAAGGCAAAACTCCCAACTCCTACAATCGTGTCAAAAATCTCGGGCCTTGGACATAACGGAGAGCCTGCTTGACCTAGGCTGAAAATCGTGCGTAGGCTTGAGATTATGATTATGATTATGATGATAGGAATTAGATTTAGATGGCCAAATAATGAAAGCAATAAGTTTCCTCTTTACCAATTCGCCATCTTCAACGGCTCCAATCCCAACGAGCGAATTCACCATCGCCGATCGCCGCATAATATTCAAATTCAATGTCGTCGTATTGATATGGCCATATTTGGGCTGATTTGAATTCTTGTGAAGGCTACAACGGAATGAACCTGGATGATTTGTCGGCGCACACATGCAATGTCGTTTCTTATTTTGTTGGCCACTATTCTGCTGTGGTTCACGGCGGTGAACGGAAATAGAACCGCCGGTTGACGTGGAAGAAAACGATGAAGAAGTTACTGGTCGGCGAAGATTGACCCGGTTTGGGGATGCGGGTCGGGTCAACAAACCAGAGCTTCGACAACTGGAGAAACCACTCGACCGATTCAGATTATGGGATTTGCATCGGTATGCCTCCATTGTTTTTGTTTAGTAAAAACTTAGAAAGATTGATGGGATATTTATAGAGAAATATTTGATGTTTGCTCCGATTCCGAAGTATTGAAGGAAATCCATATCAGTATAGGTTTCGGACTTCGGAGTTTATACCAGATTTTTTACGGCGAGTTCAATTTAAATTGTATGCATATATATATAGAGCAAATGTCTACTTTTACTTGTCGACCAGGCCCAAAATAGTAAGACGTGGACCACTCTGATAGGCGTCTACCAGGGCCATTCAACAAAACGAAACCAGTCTGCCATAAAACAAGTCATGAACATTTGCATAAATAGGATATTTTTATGTCACTATTGATTTTTTGACCCTGCTAATAAAAATTTCGAGAGAAAACCTAACCTTAAAATTTTAGAGCATGCTGGAAAGAATTTTAAAGAGGGAATTACACGCCTTATCACTTGGCCTAACAATCCATCTGAAAATGGCTCACGTTTGAAGCCCTTACCTAGTGTAGCGCAGATTGTACATAACTTGAAAATTATTTTTCACCAATTAGCCCACCCTCTTTTCATTGTTTTTTTCTTCATTCTTTATCATTCTTATTCTCCTTCAATTCTTCCAGATTCAAACCCGATAGCCACTATTTGGATGAAGAAGAAAAACAATACGTAAAAGAATTAGTTTTTTGGAGTCGTATTAAGATCATTTCTTTCATTGGAACGGGGAGAACTGTGTTTATTGTCGTGCACTAGAGAGGTTCACTTAGTAGGTTGTTGGATCATCAAATTAGAAAGAAGGTATTGGCATGTTTCCGTCTTATCCTCATTCCACAAGTAATTTTAATCTCAATGGTTGATTAAAATTTTGAAAAATAAAAGTCAACCATTAAATGTCGTTCGAAGCTTCGATTTTCAGAAATTGGGATTTTTGATTTGTTAGTTGTTTGGATTGGGTATTGTCCCAATTGATTGAAATCATCAAGAGGAGTTCAAAACTTAAATTTGAAGTGATTTGGAGTAGATTTAAGCTAGATTTGAGTTAAATTTCAGAGAATGCCCAAGGAATAAGAAGAACCCGTGAAGCTCCATTGATAGAATTCATTTGTATAATAGTGTGAAATATTTGTATAAATAGTGTATAATAGTGTATAAACATCTCTCATACACTATTGTATATAAGGTTGATATATTATTTACAGGTATTTGGTGGTGTATAAAAGTGTATAAGCATCTCTAGCGAACTTTTTGTATATTTTCACTTGCAATTCTTGTTCAAAACTAGTCTAGATCTCCATCAAATGACTTTAAACTTTGTAAATAGCCTACTTAGACTATTTCTAATAAGTTCAAACAATACCCACTTCAAATTTCTCACTAAATTATATTCAAAATTTAATAAGATTAGCATTGAAGAAGATGAGATTTTAGGTTTCTCGTGTTTGTTTTTGTGTTTTTATAGTTGGGATAGGTATATATAAACTTGAGGAAAAAGAAGTAAAAACTCACGAATATTTTATGCTTGAAGATGTAGAGAATCAAAAAAGCGATTTTTTTTTTCCCGACATGAGCTTATTGATATTTAGCTACACATTTACAAAATTGTTTGTAACTAGCTAAAATACTCCAAGGTCAGCTTATGAAGTGATTTATTATGGAATTCTTTTAATTTTAATACACGCTGGGGAGAATTTTTATTGAGCAAAATTTTAAGACACTTTAGGCTACTAAAATTTTTTAACATTGTAGCGACAAAATTTGATAGTTGTCAGAATTTCTGATGATTCAAAATTCTAGCAACCATCAGTAATATACTTAAAAAATTCAGGATAGTTGCTTGTTGGCTTCTTTTTATATCTCGAAATAATTAATCCACAATTTACCTCATACACTTAAAGGATAAAAGCAAAAGGAGTTTTTGCTCTTTCTAATTCAACGCTCCTTTTATAAGATTGAGAGCCAAGTTGATTGTTTTGGATGACCTCAATTGAAGTTCAATGTAAGGCAGGAAGGAAATCATATAGAATTTAATAGCCTCTGAAATAAAATTACACTTCCACCATCAAAAATCAATCCCCGTATTATTATATTTTTTTTATATATAAGAAAATAATAATAACAAAAGGAAGAACCAATTAAACATATCCTCAATGTACATCCATAGGCAGATCAAACAAGAAAAATGAAAATGCATGTAGCAACCAGGAAGGGCAGCCCAATGAACAAAGTATTCTGTATTCCGGGCAATAGTCGCACCTCTAATGGTGTGACGTAGACAGGTTTCCACATCTCAAATCTGTAACCACACGGAGACAACCGTACCTATTGCTCCAAGATTTCCCTTCTTAGCAACCAATCCGGAAAAAAAAAAGTTATTCTTAGGGAAATTATAATAAAGTGGAAAAACAAAAATAAATCTTGAAATACCTCTTAAATTTTAAGGACAAAAAGTTCTACCCAAACGTGCCTTATGACTAGGAATATTGAAGTGCCTAATCCTCCCCTCTTGTTCAACCAAATACCCTTCACAAAGAAAAGCCTTTGAAAATTGATCTTCAACAACTCTATCAACATCATGTACAAACACATCAGTTTCTCCATTTTCTTTATTCCTAGCAATCAAACCAGCCGTGTAAATTGCACTCATTCTACCTGGAGCTCCATCATGCCAACCAGTTGGTGCATCAACCATAATTAAATCCCAATCAATTTCCAATACTTCTTTTGGCAACCCCTTTAAAGCAAGTTGGCATTTGGAAAATCTTGGATCTGTTACTTTCTTGCAATCTTCATTGCTCATTCCAATTTCCATTAGTTCATCAGCTTGAGTTATTCTTGTATCATAGATAATATGGTGTGATTCAAGATTTGGTAATTGGCTTTGTATTTGCTCTATCCAAGATTTGTCTTCTTCAAGAAAAACTGTGCGGCCGTTGTGGTTAAGTGCTGTCCACATTAAACTGTCATGACCTAAGCCAAAGACCAAGAAATTGCAAGGGGATTTTTTTTCAAGAACTCTTAAGGAAACTGAGATTTCTTTGCTTGTTTGTTGTGGGGTTACATTTGAAGTTGCATAGTGGACTAAAGCATTTGCTAATGATGGGGAGATTTTGTTGCATGTTTGTGTTAAAGGACAAGCTATTGAAGAAGAGGAGGGCTTATCTTCAGTAGTTTCTTGATCTTCTGATGAGTTTGAAGGGTGAATTAAAGATGATGATTGAGTTTGCTGAGGAGAAGAAGGTGAAAAAGTTGATCTAAGTACTAAAAAGAGTAGAAAAACTAAGAAAAAAACAATGAGAATGAGCTTAAGATTAATGGGGCTTTGGCTTTTGGATCTCATCTTTTCTTTGGGAGAAGAATCCAGGATGAGAGTTAAAAAAAAGAAGAGAAAATAGGAGTTTTGGAGAGAAGGGGGTGAGGATTTTCAAGATTTTTGGTTTGGGAATTTGGAAGTGTAATATAAAATAGGAGTATGAAATATTTAAAATGGTAAGAAGAGTTCAAAGGGACTTATTATTAAAGAAAGGCTAAATGATTAATTTTAGTTTGTCATACCAGCTTCTAACTAATTAAGAAGGAAACTGACAATACATATAGAAAAGGAAGGTAGGAGCATACTATAAAATAAATATATATTTGATGTATATTTTAGTATTATATAGTTTGTTGCTACTTTTTTTCCCCTTTTTTTTCTTGAAATAGAATCCATCGAAAATGATCTTTCTACTTTTTCAAGGTAAGAGTAAGGTTTGCGTATATATTACGCTCCACAGACTTCATTTATAAGATTACGCGAGATTTATTTTTGTTGTTGTTTTTCATATAATACAGTAGCAATAATTTTACATGAACAGAGTTAAGAATTACTTAAGAACTTTGTATTCTAGGACCAGAGTTTCCATTTCCCTTAAAAAACTAAAACATACTATACTATTGTTTTCCCTTCAAATTGAAGAAAGTGAAAAGGGTTGATGGAGACAAGAAAGCTAATGATGTTACTGATTGTGCAAGACACAATTATAATACTAGTTTGGTAAGGATCTGTAGATAAAGAGTTTGTTTGTGTACTAAAAATATATACTTTTACTTAACCATTTTTTTTTGGAATAGTTGGCATAGTAGGTGATACTGTGAGATACTGATTTCCCATGTTATACTTTGACTTCAAAATAAAATAAATTTATTGTCATGTGGTTAGTACAGTATGTTCTTTCCTTTATCTATTTCTTTTTAATTGTCAAAAAGAATTTTAATTATTTAATTGACTAATATGTAAGTATGTTTTTTTTTATTGGGTGCATAGGAAACGCAAAGAGATAAGGAAAGAATTACGTTTTACTTTTATAAGAACTAGGACCCGTTTGGCAATAAATTGTCAAAATAAATTTGGATTTTATTTGGTAAACATATGTTTGGCCATAAATCTTGCCTACATTTTGGCAAAATTCCAAATCCCAAAACCAGCTCAATAGTTGGTTTTGAGCCAAAATATTACTATTACATTTTTTAAAAATTGCCCCAAACTTTTGTATTTTATAAAATAGCCCACCATTTATTATTTTGTAACAATATTGCTTCGTCTTCTCGGTCACCTGATAGTGTATCATGTAGTTCATTATAAAAATAATAATTTTGTAACAAATTTATTTATGTTCAGGATTATGGTTTGCGATAGTATAATGAATGCAATTGATAATGATACTGTTGGGTATTTGTGATAGTTTTTAGAACTTATGGGTATAAGTCATGTTTCATGTTTTTTCAAAATAAATTTGGGAAATATGTTTTGAAACTGATGTCCAAACACATTTTCATCTTCAAACCAAACTTCACCCAAATTAGATTTTTCAGAACAAATTTGGGAATCTATGGCCAAACGCTAGCCTACTAAGTGGCGGATCTAGACGTGGATTCCCGCGAATCCAATATTTTTTGACGGCAAACCTTATATGTATATTAAAATTTTTATTGAATATCTATAAATATTTGACTGTAAATTATATAGCTATAAAAACTCATAAATT